GAATATAATAAACTAGATAAATATTTATAATAACGATTTAATCAAAAATCACGATCATGTTTCACGATCAGGTCCCGAAATCCGACATGCATGCAACACAGACGAGGTCGCGAAAACTGCTCAATCCCTTCACCAAACCGCCGCTATTGCCGATCAGCTGACAATAATGTATTATGTGTCCTCGGGGCTACACCACGGACCCCCTGTAACAAAGCCTGGTAGGGACGAGAGCACAATTGTGGCTAACCATTTTTCTTCACTATAAATACACCTAAGAGGGTCATGCAAATTCTATGCTCACAAATCACCGACACTCATTTTTTTTATGTTATTTTTATCCGGGTTAAGGCTGGATGATTGTCTAAATATAAACCAGGATGTTTGTGGATGTTATTATAAATGATTGAGATTATCCTCATTAAATAAAAAAAACAAACCTACTCAAATAACAAAGTAAACTCAAACATTAAAGAATGATAATGGAACAGAACGTTGGACATCCTCAACTAAACAGTAGATAAGTTATTCACAACATGACACAAAAACTGGAAAGTAAAATCAAAATTCAGGTTGAAAGCTATGAAAAAGGTCAAAGTTATTCAATAACCATTTACAAGACATTCTCCCACAATCTAACAGAAAGCCTGCCCCTCATCCGTAACCCTAGTCAATTCGCATCGAGCTGATCTCCCGTGAACATAGCCTGTCTCTTTGTAAGACGGTCTCTCCGGAAAATCGTCCTTATGTGATTTGTGGCCCGACTATTATCGTCAAGGACTCCCAGTTTTCTTCGATCCTTTTTATGTCAAATAATGACAAACTAGCATACAATGGCGGACAGGTATTTTGTCGGAGCGCTGCGGGTCCCTTGTGTCCTCGTCGTGCAAATAATTGAGGGTAAATGCTGTGCTCGCAGAGATTTACTTTGTTATAAGCATCGCGTCGTGTTTAATACGTCGTTAGTTCAGTCACATATCTGTTTGTATTTGTAAAATATTGTAACAATACATTTCATTTCTCTTTGTTGTTTTCACCCTTATTGACTCACGTAATTGTCCAATTATAACTAAGAAAAATATTTATAGAATAATCACTTTGTATTATTCTTGGGATAAAAACTCTGAGAATTTTCATAAAAGTTTTTCTTCACGAACTCAAAATACACATCCTTTCAAGTCTTTAACTTTCAGGACTTTACAACAAAAGCCTTCTTGAATTTTAACTTAACAGTGAAAATAAATGAATGGATATCAATTTTCAACGTTAAGTTTTTTGCCCTTAAATTAAATTAAGTCCAAATGTAAAAATAGAATTTAATTTCTTGCCCAAAATTCTTCTGAGGGTCTGTCATTAAGATTAGAAAAGGAAAAAGGAGTTCAATCAATTAGAACACTGGAAATACTAATAATGTACTTTTAAATTGAAACAAAAAAGTAGAATTACGTTTTGGGATGAATTGAAAACAAAAAGCAATGAACTAAGAAGATTAACTTCAAAAGTATCAAACAGTACCTATAAGAAAAATAATCCTTTTATAAACCACGTTCTTCAATCCCCTCTTTCTTTAAGTCAGTTGTTTGATTGACATACTAAATATACAATAATAATAAATAATAATAATAATATAGCCTTTTAATCGGATCTCTTAGTACAATAGGTTTTTAAACTTATGTAAAGAACTAACATTATAATATAAAATTTAATATGTATGCACAATTTAGACTAAAATTTGTTGTTTGGTTATCTTCCCTAGACCTTTTTGCCAGTCGGCAAAGGCCTCCTCCAACCTTTTCCACTCCTTTCTTTCTTGAGCCACTCTGTTCCATGTGACTCCTGCCACTTGTCTAACGTCATCGTCCCACCTTTTCTGTGGTCGGCCTCTTTTCTTTTTGCCTTCCCTTGGGTACCACCATGTCACCCTTTTGCTCCATTGGTCGTGTCCTCTTGCCAGGTGACCAGCCCATCGCCATTTGAGTCTTTTGATTTTGTTTATTACACCGGTAGTTTTTGTTTTGTTTCTAATGACAATATTTTTTTATTAAATATACAATTGATATGCTAAAACCTCCTAAAACTAACAAACACTTTTCTGAAGACCGCATCAAAGTCAGTCAAGCCAATCGCGAGATAATCTCGTACAAACATAAATACGTACAGGTTAAACCGAGAACCTCCTTCTTTCTTTGAAGTCGGATAAAAAATGATTTGGCTTTTACCAAGAATTGGGTAGTTTCCAGGGTATCAAAATTAAAAATCTAATTAGTTCGTCAGTTAGATAATGAAAAAAATATTAGATACGTATTTTTTTATTTTCACGTATTAAGTTGCAATACTTAGATAAAATAGGGCTAAGTTTAGGAGTGGGAGGTCGTTACGTCATAACGTGCTATGACAAAATGTGGCACGCTGTGACGTCACACGATATTTCAAATTAATATATTGTCGAAAGTATTTAATTTTGTGAGAAAAGAAAAAATACGTGTCTAAAGTTTTATTTTAATCTACCAGACGGACATTAAAATAAAATTTTGGAAACTACTCTACTACAGAGTTAGTGTATGACAGTCGCCGTCTGCCCTTATACCAGACTTAAGTGTATCTTATGCGAGTGTGAGTAGTGTGTAATGGCAACAACAGCCATCACAAACACTACAACGGAGATTATCGTAAATCTTTATCATACTTCGCCATCTTAGTTTAACCACAGAAATACTGAAGGTCCGTAGAACATAATGCTTAGAAGTTATGCCGTAGATTGAAGTAGATTTCAGACATTATGTATAAAACATACGTTCATTTTCATAAGAATCATCCATCAAATAAACGCAGGTATAACACACTTAATAAGCACCTTGGTACACCTTCAACTGTACACAAATTATAATTTTCTTCCTACAGCAATTTTATATGAAAGAAATATTTTTATAATACAACGCACACGGCACAACGCAGATACTCTTTATTTATATCAATGTGCAATGAGCGGCTTTACTCCTTTATAGCCCGCAGTAATTATTGTACGATGAACATTTAATTCTCATTTCACAGAAATACTATTCGTAAAGTACATTGCAATTAATAAATGTTCGGGATTCTATCCGGAGATTATTATTCGCGTCCAAGTACTTAATGGAACCTTGAACGAGCATTAAAGGAAGCTTACGGTGAGTAAAGCCTGGCGCCAGTAGATAACGTAAACTTTGATAATGTCCCCGATAACTTCAAAGTTAACTTAATGTGATGGCACTCGAATAACTTCATTTAATAGAAATGATGTCAAACGAATGGCACATTACTTTGACAACATAAAATATTCAGCGAAACAATTATGTTGAAACTGTGAATCGATAACACTAATAGACGCGTCACCAGTGACTCCTCGCGGTGACACAATCAATAGTTTTGTTTAGGGTCAGCTGCGCGCGGACATCAAAGCTACGAATTTCATTTAGCGAACCTTTGTGCGGGTCACTGACAACTCACAAGTCACATGGCAGTCGGCAGTCCACATCTTGCGTGTATTCGGAGGACGGAAAGTTTTCCCATTAATAAACAAGTGGCGCAGTTTGATGTTGTGACGCTTGATGGCATTCTGCATCATTAAAACCCTCATAACTTTCAAACTGCCGGCTGCTTTACTCGAGCAACTTCACCATAACTTATTTAATAGAATTCTACATGGAATTGATCAACATCGGCGGCATTCGGAGCAGCGGAGATTCCCAAACGGTTCAGTGACGCGGGAAAACGCCTTTCACAGCCTGTGACGTCACAGCAGCACTCCTAACGCTACCTAACACCTTTATAGCCGCTTCGTCACACTTCCACGTTTACGATTTAATACTAAAATGATATTCTCGAAGTTTAAGTATAACGAATTTTGTCGATGTAATCAGTTGAGCTTTATTGTCCTCAGTTTGGCAGTATTCCGCAGTTGGGCCGCGGCGGTCTGGCTCCGGGGCCCTGGGGCGCTGCCAGTCCGGCCCGTATCTGAAGGTCCCCAACTTTTTACGATTAGGTAAATTTTATCGAGTTTATTCATAGAGCAGGCCCTACGCGCCCCACTAGGAAACGCTTTTCAATTTCAACAAGGATCGCCCTTTCTATCGGCGCGGTGAGGAAACTTTGGAGATAAAACAATTTTTGGCCGGTTGAGCATCAATTCCGCGTTTTATTGACCATTTTAGAGCTGTGCTCGGCAAAATTTGAACATGAAACCCTTATCGCTCGAGTGTTTTGTCGTTACGACAAATAAAACCGATGAATATGAAAAGGCTGAATAATATTTTCGTGCGTTATTTTTTTGGATATTCATGTATTATGTGATGAAACGAAGGACACCCTCAGTGCGAACTGTCGCCTGCGATATATCACTATGAATAATTCTTTTTGTACACACGATGCGAGCGCGCCAGTACAAGTAGGCTGTAGAATAGATTCACTGCGATAATGTAATGCCGACATATTGCTGGTTTATGAATTTATTTAGAAACACGTTTTTTTCCCGCGCGAGTTATTTCTTTGTGCCACAAAAAGAAACCCAATATGAACTCATAAGGAAAGTGATCCGAATTTATTGTCAAACGAAAGGAAAATCAATCAATAAAAAGCCAAAGATGACGACCAGACAAAGGAACCCCTTGGGTTTGCTTCGGGAAAAACACGGAAAGACAAAGGCTTCTAGTGACATATGTTTGTTTATAGGTTGATTAGCCATGAGAGGAGGGACTTTCACTTTGGAATTTACCAACTTAAATTATTGAGTTATCTACATACTAAAATAAATAACCTGTTGATGTTCGAATTTTTGATACCATTCATACATACCTACGTAGTTTCAGTCTGTGAAACGTAACGCATCGACTAGGTGGAACGAAAACCGTAAAATGAATATCAGTAGATAAGAATAATTGCAAGATTTTCTCAGTGACGTGCTACATCGGGTTGGTGGGACATTTTTAGCAGAATGCGAATAAAAGCTGATAGTGAGTAGAGCTTACCTGGCGGTACTAGATGCGCCAGCAGCAGCAGGGCAAGGTGCGCGGCGTCGCGTGCGCGCATGTCGCTAGCGGGGCGAGCCCCGCGCGCCTCCCCTGCGCATGCCACTCCCCGGCGCGCGCGCACACCGCGCAATACACACACACGCACTTACACACGCGCACTACGCACACATCTATGTCCGCACTTCTGGGGAGCTACTGGCCACCTGTAAGAAAAGAATTAAGTCAGTTTGTGTTTGTAAATGAATATGGCATAACATCATTTAATTTATTATGTGTATATGTGTGAGATATGCCATCACTGTTTATTTAAATTGGCCGTATGTTCTATATTTAAAAAAGAGTACCTAACTATTATCATTTTTTTTTTTTATTTCGGACTAAACCGATGAATACGCTTTAACTAAATATCAAAAGTAACACTTCATTACTTTAAAGTGTAAGTAACAAAATCCCGTTAAATAATGGACTACTTATTGTAAGATTAGGGGAGTTTGAAGAACATCTCAAGGTGAGCCGCCGGAGCCGCTTGTAAGCAGTAAGCACCCACTTGACTGCGCAGATCACACAACCTTCGACGTTAATACTTCAATAAGCAGTCCAATAATTCAATCCGATTATCGTTTAACATTATAATCCCATAGTCGTCTCCTACACCATCTTCAGACACATTATAGACAGCCCATTAAATATCAAAGATGTGGCGATGTATACTATGGGTACAGTCGGGTTTGTATTAAATCCTTGACTCTGTATAATAGAGGAGCTGTCCCCCCGCTGGACCGTCAGACGACCTTGCTTGTCCGTTGCTTATGCAAAGTACGAATTGTATTTTGCCGAAATTATAATTAAAACTTTATGGTACGTACAAATATACTGAGTGATTACGTATGCGGGGCGTGCCGCCACCAATCAACGGGGATTGTTGCTTCGCTGTGTTATGTAATAATTACAAGATTCACGAAAAGGATTAAAACAGGATAAAAACAGACGTAGGGCACCACGTAACGATTGTTATCGTTAGACAGGTTACACGTAGTTTTTAGTTTTCCGAAATATTTACCTACAAAATACAATATACCTTTTTGCGTGAGACTGTACCCGAGCGAACGTTAATAAACAAAAGAGTATCGTAAAACACAAAGTTTAAGTAAAGTTGGTGAGCAGAGTACCGCCGGCGTCGATACAAAGTGTGTGTGTGATCATAAAAGTGTTGGATGTGCAAGTTCGCCGATAAACTGCCACTAATGGTATAAACACTCGTTTTAGTGCTGATAAAAGTGAGTGCTACCTACATAACTACGTGCCTGCTATATATTGAGGCAGGGAGCAAACTCACGAGAAACTTTGTGAGATATCGGCTATAGGTGAGCCGCGAGTTGTAAAGAGGTCCCGTATAGATGTTACACGACCTCACCGACTTACGTACTGATTATCATTCCTAATAAGGAGTTAAATCTTGTGAAATTTTCACATGCCTTATGTACTATAATATAAACAACGTGCAGACAGCAACGTTGCACATTTTCACGCCTCACGTTTCCCACCTCGGCCCGGCAACAGTGCTGAACTGCTGTCACAGTGCAGTCAACAACAGAAGATCAACGAAATCCATAGTGAAGTGAAACAAAAGCAAGTGCAAACTGCGACCACAGTCGTCGGTAACAGTTCCGTTTTAGTTTTCATACCACGCAACAATTTCGATTGGCTTTGGCAGTGCAGCGCGCGAATTAATTTAAACAAGGCACGGATACGAACCGGTTCGCTTACCCCAAACCTGCGGGAGCCGTTTTCAATGGTTCTCGTCACTGCTATATGATGCTTTTGTTACAAAGCAATCAGCGGAGTTTAGCCAAACCATACTTCCATATTCTGTATAAAAATGCTCGAACAGGATTGATGGATTGGTATTTTTATGGTAGGTACTCGAGCAAAAATAAGTTCAAAGAGAGCTCGTTTGACTCTTTCGTAGAATTAAAAACTTTATGACCTTCTTTAAATGTAGATTTAAATCAGTTTTATGAACCTTCTTCATTGTCCTGATCATCTACTGTCCAGTCCACTTACTCCATTATAGACCTTATTTCCGTTGTTTAGTGACTACGTTTGGACGAACAAATGTTGTGGATTTTTCATAATCGGGGATTAAGAACTTAAGTCATGTTGTCATATAAACCTTCTGTATTACGGTTGGCTGTGGACCAGGGTTTACTATAAGGAAGCCATGTGTATAAATTGCAGCCTCCCAATGATGATAGGTTGCCGAGTTCTTGCCTACCGACTACGTAATAAGCTTTTTCCTTTACTCAAGTTTTTCGACTTCTAAGGAAAAGGTAAGCAGTTTATAGACAAAATCAGTTGTGTAGGTAAATCGTGCGTAGGAGCGGAGTCTCTATTAGTGAGATTATCTTCTTATTCCGTCCGTCGTTTTTTTATTTTATGTAAAGTTTTGTTTTCTTACAAAAATATTCAATAACAGCAATTAAAATTTAATATATTACACTTACTGTTTCTATAACGTCAATCATTTTGATTTGCTCTATTCTATCATTCGGCCGACAATTGAACCTCCGCTAAAAGTGTTCCTAACTCCTAAAAGCTGGGTACAATTTTTACAGCCATTATGTTGGCAGAGAATCGTGAGGTTATGTCGCGGTAGCTGATGGCTGCTGGCGAGTGACGTCACACGTGAAAATAACCATAATATTGACCACTATACCGTCAGTGGGCGTGTTTCTTATACTGCCGGTAAAGAGACATGTGGTTTACAAAATTCTACGAAGTAGTAGCATTCTTAAATATACTCGAGTGCTCGTCGAGTGTAGGCAACGTGGGCGTAGTCTAAAAGAAAGGTATGAAAGAGCCCACTGCCCGACCAGACTTTCAACTAATCTTTTCAGATAATTCAGCTGAGCCTACGCACCCAGGAGATTATTCCAATACGTCTTTACTTTTTCGTCGCGATAAAAAAGGCAACATATTCGTGTCGAAGAAAAGAGCCTATCTCCTAATATCGGGCACAATGCCAAGGTCAGTCGACGACGCTCATATTCAGCAAAAAGACTGATAACATCAGTGACAACAAGTTCTTACGCAACATGTAACCGATTCAAACAAATAAGAAAAACCATGTCCGTCCACAACTACAAGTCAAAAAAGTATTAATATCGCGAGGCCGCGCCTACACCAGTTTATCCCAAAACAAAAACAACAAAAAATGAGATTACTACGAAACTATAAAAGATGCACGAAACTTCGTCAAGTGAGCTCCCAAACTATGACCCAATAAAGTTCGCGAGAAAAACTCCTCTACTATGGCATACAGTAGTAGGTATAGCTAAATATAGCTGTAACGAACATGTCCTGAGTATGAAGGAAGTTTTAGTTTCGCACAGAGCCGTGGTATTAGTGGGATCAATGGATGTGTGGAACTGCTGAGATTATACCCGCCCAATTTGTAAAGATTGCTCTCTGTTTGGGTTCGGACAAATTAACTTCGTCAAAGAACTACCACAGACATCTTTGTAGATAGATAAATATTTCGATATCTTCGATCATTTTGTATAGACCACACGACGTGACCTCTTTTTTATAGTCCTCAATAAACGAATACGCGAACTAGATGCGAAGACAATTCCCATATTTATGTGTCTATGCGAGCAGCCATAACCACACGGCATAAATTTAAAATATTCCAATAGGTAGTACGTTTGAAATAAAACGCACACTTTTGTCACAGTGCGCTATGCTGCAGCGGAACACATTCGGCTCGCCCCCGACATGATGTACGGCGCTTATTGCACTGTGTGCTCACCTATTTTTTCCTTACTCATCTACCTAGTTTTTAAGAACACAGAGACGCCTGTACAGTAAGTCAATTGGTTTTGTTAAAAGAATTCAAGAAATATCCACATTTCTCCAAGTCACAGCCTATATTAATAACGTTTGCTGAATATAAAACCTCAACATATATTTTCTACAAAATGTGTTTTTACGTCAAACTTTATGAAAAATGTCGACAAAAAACGTTAATGACTCCACTACTTAATTACAAACTAAAATGTTCGGTGACATTTCAACAAAAATGTTTTTCATGTTACTTTATCATTAGATGAAGAAATAATTCTAAGATAACTATTAATTTACTTAATTAGCATTCATCACGAACGTGACATGCTGATTAAAGAGAGTTTTTATACATTCAGTGCACATTCATTTGAAAATGTTTAGCAGACGTTAACTATGTTTGATTGAAATGAATTATTTAATTTAAGTAACGTACCAAGTAAATGCCATCACAAAGAATTCCTTCAGATTTAGACAAAAATATTCCTTTCATTTATGTTTGAATACTTATGTGTGTTAACGAGCGACATAAAAGTCGTGGCATATAAATGTTCATCGCATTAATCGACTTTTACAGCCGTCAGCGCTGCAGGCGTTAGATTACACCTCGGTTCCGGATCTCGTTACACACTGACAGTTACTGTTACACTACATGCAAGCTACCCGCGTGCTGAGACATGCAAAACATATCTCACAGGGGAGACTTGAGTCACTGCTCTCGCTGCGCTGTGTCCGTCAGCGCACACAGCACTTCCATTCGGCCATCCCTTTCATCCCAAACGACGCTTTGATTAAACAATTTCGTTGTGCACCAAAATAAAGTTTTTAATCTTTCGATGTGGCGGATGTGACGTCAGAGAATTGAGGCCAAACAAAGACTCGGAGAGTCGGATGCTGTGGTTCTTTTTTTTAATTTCGGTGCACTGCGTACTGTAGTGGTGTAGTGGGTGGTATACCTGACTGCACGTGCCTACGTGTGTGGCGTACCTGCTGTTGCTATGTTTGAATAACGATGAGAAGTTTTGTTTGGAAATCATTAATGTTAATATTCCATACTTTTGAGAGTAACCCAAGCAGTCACTATGGCACTTCGAATCACTAACTTAGTTAGCTACCAGCTAGTCTACACGGTGATTTCCCACGTTTCTGAACATAGATGCATTGATTGGATTTGTTTAACTAACAAAACAGACCCGAGGTGAAGGCAATTAATGCAACTGTCTGGACAAAGTTCCCG